TTTTACAAAAGTGTACGTTTTGCATCTCAGAGACTTTGTTCTAGTGCTTTTGTTCCTTTATTCCTGAAAGTGAAGGGGAACTAAATTTGGACTATACTGTATGTGATGGCTTAGGAGTCACAATTTGTTAGTGTTTTCTTTTTCAATGTGAAAGTCTACAGTGCATATTTGTTCTAAGACAATAAACTGTGATTAAAAGGGACCATTGTAATTTTACAGCCTCAAAGATTGTTGGTTCAAACCATCAACCCTACAATGTAATAGATTCAGATAAAACCTTCAAAAATTGTTGCTCTTCATATTTTCATTATTTCATTATTTCAAAATATGATTAATTTGAACCATTTGTAATGAATTATATATATATATATATATATATATATATATATATATATATATATATATATATATGTGTGTGTGTGTGTGTGTGTGTTTGTGTAATTTTGTTGGACATATGTTATTTTATTTTTTAAGGCATTTAAAATCTAGCAAAAATAAAGAAATATTCTGTCTTGCTAACTTTTTGCAAACATTCTCCTGTCCCCCCTTAATAAAAAAAGTTAGCAATGCTAATTATAGGGATTCTTGCTATGTTTTAAAATATTTATGATTCATCCCATAGACTAATTTATTTTCATGTATTATTGTTACTTTTAGTTATTATATTATTACTGTACTTTACATTCACATCTCAGACTGTTTATCCATGAAGCTTGCTGTATCATGATGACTCAGCATAAATGTTTGAGTTCTAAAAAGCACCATAGTTTGGTTATTTGGAAGAATGTTCATCTTATTAAAATCTAACCGACAGCTGTAACCAACATTTTTACAAACTAAATGTTCATCATTGGCTTTTATTGATCTATAAAGAACCTTTTATATACATGGATTTTTTTTTATAATTGTAAAAGTTTATTTAAATGGTTAAAATGTCCTTTTAGAACCTGAAGTGATGAATCAACATACAGTGCTCAGCCTATATAAATACATACCTCACAAATCTTTTAAATTCATATTTTTAATAGGAAGCTATACAATATTATATTTGTGCATATTTATTGGATTAGTCAGTACTAAAGCCAAAGCCAACTTTAGAGCTAATTTTATAAAATAACTTATGAACACAGTCCAAAAACTAGCACACCCAAATTTATTTGTTATAGATAAATATTAAATCCATTTTTAAAAATGTGAAAAAAATTGTTGAAATCTTGTAAGTTGTACTTTTTTTATATTTTGCTTGAATTTAATTGTATTATCTTTCAATTTCTAAATATATTTGGTGACTAAAATATTATTTTAGTAAATATATCTGTTTAATAAATTAGTTTTGTTTAAATGCACCAAAATACATTGCTGATATTCACTGAAAAAGAGAGAAAAATACTCATTTTCAAAATGGTCTACTCAATAATGCTGAGCACTGTATTTCAAATAGAAACCATGACTATTCATTTAGTGATTTTTATAAAACTTGGTTTTGAAAGCCAGTGGGTGACATAGTCACTCGAAGGAAGAATGACAAATTTTAGTTTAAATGTTTTGCTGTCTGCTGTTTTGATTAAACACCTTGTTTTTAGAAAGAAAACCAGCAGTTGTGTATGTGGTGTTAATCTTTATATCACTAGAGATTTTCTTTCTGTAAAGTCTGCATTACAAAGCATTTTGAGTTCCATCATATCACCACAGTCATGCAAGAAACAGCTGTATCTTCTGCATTGTATTGCCGGTTCATATTTATACTATAGTTGTGAAGCACTTTGCATTGGTTTGTTTGCCTCATTGTTTTATCGAGGTTTTAAAAATATCCATCCATAATAGACCTAAATAGACATAGTTGTTCTAAATACCTTATGTTTAGTTTATGCAGCACTTACTGTAAATATGAGCTTTTGTGTTTCACCCTTAGATAGGTTTACACACACACACACACACACACACACACACACACACACACACACACACACACACACACACACACACACACACACACACACACACACACACACACACATACAGAGTTGATGATCTGCATAGCCGGCTATAGCAGATTCGCTGAGCTTGGAGAGGAATACATTACTGCAAGCCAAAGCATTGGCAACATCCTGAGCTCACGCCTCCCTTTCTCTCTCTTCTCTGTCTGTCTCTTGCTTTCTCTATCTTACACCTTTCAGACAGGATTCTGCTCAGCCCGTCTGTGTTTTCACAGTGAAAGCCAAGCTGGAGTTATCAGGCAGCAACACAGCCCTACACACCGGTGAGTGTGCATTTCAACTGCAGTATGTCTTTTATTCCATACTGGAGTCTGTAGTCTTTTTGTGTGATTTTTTTACATGTTTAATGCCAGGATCCTGTGCAGGAAGATGCTCACAGCTCATCTTTAACATATGTCATGTCTGATAATGTTATTTATACACTCCTGTTTTAGCACTCCGTAGGTCATCAATGTCTACTTTTGCAGAGTTTTGGCTTCAGTTCAAACTCTGCACTGTGATTGGTTCACTGCAGTCATAGAGTTGCTACTGTATGTAATGTAATGTTTTGGATTATATGAGGGAAACTAGGTGGATTTGGGGTTTTAAAGTGGCTAAACATCCACCTTGGGTCTGTGCTCTGTACTGTATGTTCATGAGTTAAAGGAATTGTTCACCCAAAAAATGTTTTACATTAATTTACATGTCATGTAGTTTCAAAACTGTATGACTTTCTTTCTTGTGTGTAAGATAAAAGAGTACATCCTGAAAGGGATTTGTCAGTATAAAGGTATGTACAGTTGAAGTCAGAATTATTAGACCCCCTTTGAACTTTTTTTTAATTTTTAATCATTTTCCAAATGATGTTTAACAGAGCAAGGAAATTTTCATAGTATGTCTGATAATATTTTTTCTTCTTGAGAAAGTCTTATTTGTTTTATTTCGACTGGAATAAAAGCAGTTTAAAAAAAAATTTAACACCCTTTTAGGGACAATATTATTAGCCTCTTTAAGCTATATATATTTTTAATAGTCTACAGAACAAACCATCAATATACAATGACTTGCCTAATTACCCTAACCTGCCTAGTTAATCTAATTACCCTAGTTAAGCCTTTAAATGTCACTTTAAGCTGTACAGAAGTGTCTTGAAAAATATCTAGTCAAATATTATTTACTGTCATAATGGAAAAGATAAATTAAATCAGTTATTAGAAATGAGTTATTAAAACTATTATGTTTAGAAATGTGTTGAAAAAATCTTCTCTCCATTAAACAGAAATTGGGAAAAAAAATAAACAGGGCAGCTAATAATTCAGGGGGCTAATAATTCTGACTTCAACTGTTTACTTTGTGTTTTACAGAAGTGATACAGGTTTGGAACGGCATAAGGGGTGTACGAAGAGAATAAATTATCATATTTTTTCCTTTTTAGGTAACTATCCATTTAAATGTGTTACTGAAGGCGATTATTGATAAACAATACAGCATGTTTTTGATCATCATTCATTCTCTACACAGATGAAATCCTCATCAATCTTTACTGCAGTCTGATTTATTAGTAATTAAAGAGTGTTGTAAGTAGAGTACCACTGATATTTAAAAAAAAATATATCAATTATAAAAGGTCAAAATGTCCAAGTATTTTAAATTGTTGCATGACTGTATTGTTAGGATCACAAAAAAGTAAGGTTTAATAGCACAAATTCTTTCCAACTGGTCTGTCGGAGTAGTCTAACAGCACTGGTCGATGTCAAAATGATTGATATGGCCAATAAATAAAAAAGTAGTTTATGGTTAACAGAAAAACAGCTGAAGTTCCAATGTGAATCATAAGTTTAGAGTTGAAAGAGAACATTGTAAGATTTAAGTAGGTAAGTATTTTTAAGTTTTAAGTTATAAAAAATGTCTGACTGTACTATCCAATGCAAACTACTCAACTTTTTTTTTCTTCAAATTTCAGCTTTTTGAATTGAACATACTGTATGGTATAATTTACATAAATCTTCTAAATTGTTCCTGAATGTGTTGAAACAAGCAACGTTTTGTGTTTTCATCATATTAGGCAAACAATAGTGAATGTGTGCATAGTTTTAAATATTACATGCACTTAGTTCAAAATGATTACCTCACAACTAGATTTAGACCTATAGAGCTTTATATTTCTAATTCATAACAAACATTCCCCTCCCATTATTCAAGACACGGTTTGGTCTTGCTGTAAATAACTTGAATTAAGAGTATGTTGTTACCTAATATAACAGTACACCACTTCAGTTCATTTAGTTGTGGGATATTTTGACCTGCATTCTTTATGTCATCTTTATCTTATCTCATCTAAATCTTATGACTCAAACTAGGATGTAAATGTGAGCTTATCTATACTGCAAGCAAAGTACTGAACTTAAAGGCATAGTTCACCCGAGACCAAAAATTCTAGATATTGCATTTAGAAGGAAGCAAACTATTTAGAAGAGGTTTTACAGTACAGTTGGTTTGAGATCTCTTCATTTATTGGTTTTGCTGTGCTCAAATTGCCTCATTTACTCAAATGGATTAAGTTCACAAAACTCAGTTTTTGAAATTAAATGGTTTGTTGCAATCGGTTTCCTCAAACGGTTTGAGTTACCTTACCTTTTTGGGTTTTACAGTGTATGGATGTCAATGGCTGCTTTTGCCCATTTCTCAGAATATCTTGTTTTGTGTTCAATAAGAAAAAAGTTGATAAAAAGTTAAAACCATGTGAGTAAATGGTGAGGAAAGGTTCATTTTTTGGGGTGAACTATCTTTTATAGCCGTCATATTGTATTTTTACAAGTATGCCTCTTGTTAAAAGTGTTTTTAAAAACACACAAGAGTCTTTTAAGTTGCACTATGCAATTTTAGCCAAACCATATTGCTATTTAAAAGAACCAAAACAAGACTCTGCCCACTTTTTTTTTTTACTTCGCTATCATTATTGACACACCTCATTACTGCTGTTTGTTTCTGAGACTGCAACAATGTTCAGAAGCTATTTTCAAATATTGCTTAGCGCACCTTTAATGTCTTGCATGGTAAATTCAAGTGGACTTTTAAGACCAGATGAATGACAGCATTATCAAGTTTTGGATGGGACTAAAACAAAATAGATTTTTTTTTAGCAAAGACTGTAACAGAGCACTTCTGATTGATTTTGTAGTTAACCGAAAGAGAGAGAGACAGAAAAGAAAATCATTTTGGATGCATTCCTAATAAGGACTGGCACGAGGACAGCCAGCACTTCCTGTGTTCTTCAGCTGCTCTTAAAAGCCCTTGGGGAAGTGGGATGTGGACAGCAAACACTGACCACCACTCAGCTCACAGAGTTAGGAGCCTCCACACAAAACACTGTAGAGAGGAGAGAGAGAAAGAGAGAGAGTGAGGGCATGCTGACAATGCAGAAAACTGCCCAGAATCCTGATGAGGCAACACTGAGGCTTCACTGCATTATGATCTCAAACCCTGCCCAACCCCTCTCTCTCCCTCTCTCTCTCTCTCTCTCTCTCTCTCTCTCTCTCTCTCTCTCTCTCTCTCTCTCTCTCTAAACCTGACTCACTCCATATGTCTGAAGGGTGGATCACTCTATTTCCCAGCCCCCTTTGTTTTATGCAAGCTTGTGTATGCTCTAAATATTAATAGATGGTAAACGCAGTATTTTTAACAGTGATCTGTTAGCATATTTTAAAATAACTGAGCTAGCTTTCATACGCAGATTAATTCATGAACATAAACATAACATCATCTTAAAATTTAAAAATATTTCCTTGGGAACTTACTGAGGTAAATGTGTTTGGATTTTTTTTCAGATTCTGACAACAACTAGTTATAGAATTGTTGCTATAAGTTATTAAATTATATCATGTGATATATTTTTTCAAAGTGTAAATGAATTACTTCCAGATTTTCAGCATGGCATCATATTTTTAGGCCCCATATATGGATATTGAAAGAGTGTTGTTTATATTGTATTATCAGATATTACTAATATTTAAGATGCATTTAATGATAATTAGTTTTTTTTAAAGAAACTGCCGAGTTGTGGCATGATCTGTATGTATGTGTGTGTGTGTGTGTGTGTGTGTGTGTGTGTGTGTGTGTGTGTGTGTGTGTGTGTGTGTGTGTGTGTGTGTGTGTGTGTCTGTGTGTGTGTGTCTGTGTGTGTGTGTGTGTGTGTGTGTGTGTGTGTGTGTGTGTGTGTGTGTGTGTGTGTGTGTGTGTGTGTGTGTGTTGCAGTGCTGCTCATAACTGACTGTATATATGAACCCCTCCCCCACACTTTACCACCCGTAACAGCATGAGACAGCAGAAATGTGAACTTGATATTATAAATCTAACTCACCTGCTTAGATTTTCCCTTGTTCTCTTTCCTTTCTTTTTTATGTCTGCATTATAAATCTACCAGTTTTTCATTTAGTGTATGTTTAAATGAGGTATTGGAGCATTCAGTACAAAACTTTTTTATGTATATTTTTGGAAACATAAATAAAAATACTGTATATCAAAGTCAAATTTAGAATCTGTTTATCAAAATCTGTTTATCGAAAGAATCCTCACTTCTGCTTCACAGTTTTTGTAAAGAGATCAAAAATTTAATCTCAAGGATTTTGATCCAAGTCTTCTTATGGGACACAAATGCTTTATAAAGGTAAATACACTGTACAAAATTCAGGCTTTCACACAATTAATTCATGTTGGTCCAACACAAATCGATTAAGTTAACTTAACATTCATTAAGCTCATTGTAATTAAATAGTAGTGGACAAGCAAAAAAAATATATTTTTTAGTGTATAAATAAACAGAATCCCAACCATACTTGTTTGACACAAGGACAAATCTCATTGGTTCACAGTTTTAAATAGATAGATTATTATTATTTTTTTAATTTAATAACATTTTTTACAATAATTTTTTAGGGATTTTTCCACTGTTAATTGGAAAGAACAGCGGAGGTTACAGACATGAAAATATTGGGGAAAGCAAAGAAGGGTTGGCAAAGGACCTTGAGCCGGGAATCGGACTTGGGTGTCACCACATTTAACCACTAGGTTATTGGCGCCGACTCATGGATAAATTTTCAATTAATGGACCGAAATCTTTCAAATTTGATCAAAATTATTTTAATTTGTTCCAAATGACTGTGTCCACTCACCGGTGCTGCATTCAATTTATAAAACTACAGCATAAATGACAAACTAGTGAAATATTATTACAATTTAAAACTTCCAATTCTAAAACTTCCCAGTATAATTTAGTACCATAAAGATCAGAAATCCTTCTGATATGTTTATTTGGTGCTCCTTATAGATTTCTTATAAATGTTATCACTGCTAAAAACTGTTGGACTGCTCCATGTTTTTGTGGAAAACAAGTTACATTTTCTCATTCGCTCTATTTTATTATTCGAATTTGAGATCTTTTGTAACTTTATAAATGTTGGTACTGTCAGTAATGTTGGTTTATTTTAAAGTGTTCTTGTTTAATATAACAGTGTTAAATTCTTTAAAATTTAAAAATTCAAAAACAGTGATGTTTCTAAAAATATTAACAAAGTAAATTCATAAAATTAAAATTGTTTTAGCAAAAAACAGAACAAACATCATATCATTCATATATACAGTATATACAGTTGAAGTCAGAATTATTTGCCCTCCTTTGATTTTTCTTTTTTAAATATTTACCAAATTATGTTTAACAGAGCAAGGACATTTTCACAGTATTTCTGATAATATTTTTTCTACTTATTTGTTTTATTTCGGCTAGAATAAAAGCTGTTTTTTATTTTTTAAATCCATTTTAAGGTCAATATTAATAGCCCCCTTAAGCAATACTTGTTTTTCGATTTTCTACAGAACAAACTATTATGTTCAGAAATGTGTTGAAAAAAATCTTCTCTCTGTTAAACAGACATTGGAGAAAAAATAAACAGGGGGCTAATAATTCTGACTTTAACTGTATATCTCATGACTTTTGGCATGTTAAGTACTAACTAACTTGTATAACCTGATTGCCACTGAGCCTTTAAGTTGTGTTGAACATAAAGTGCATCATGTTTGCATTAATCCTCTAATCAATAAGTCTGACTGCTACTAAATAAGCTTTAATGTGTCATGCAAAAAGTCTCCCTCTGTGATTTTTATGACTTAATGTGTTTGTGTTGTATCAGTTTTGATGCTCTGGTCTGTTGTGTTTGTTGAGTCGAGGTCATGCAGGGTGATTATGAGCTCCCACCACCTGGCCTCTCAGAGGACACCTCAGCAAACATGTCGAGGGCCAGATTGGAGCTGTTGTCTCTGTCACATGTACATCCAAAACCAAAGAGTTAGCCAGACATCAGACCAAAAGGGTTGGGTATCCTGATATGAGACCTATTCCGATACAGGAGTCGCAAGACGTGATGCGATAAAGACTGATAAGCTACCTAATTGTTGGTTTGGGTTTCAGGAGGTTGTTTTAGGTTCTTTGAGGTGAATTCCACTGTTTTCTTTTTGACAGCTTGAACCTAAAATGTCAGAGCTGTTTATTGGGAAATTTTTAACTATGCATTGGAATGGAATAGCAGTACTCATTCAGTGCTGCTGCCTGCATAGTTTTCTTCTCTTAACACAGTTAACAATTAAGAGAGTAAATGTGAATATATAGAAGTCAATGCAAACCTGAGAACAGAGGCCGATTATCATCCCGTGGTGCGAACGACGCAGAAAACGTAATGCACTTGCCATGAACATGCAGAATTTGCCTCATTCGCATCTTCCGTATTTGGTGTGAACCCAGTTGTGTTGACCAATCAGAAAAGAGAAAACAAGGCGCACCCTGCTGTCGTTAGGTGAAACCAGTCATTAAGTGAAATCTTCACCCTCCCCATAGTTTTCAGATTGTTTGGTTTCAATGATCACCTGATACTCCATTTTCATGTGGACAAACAGCAAAACCATGTGGAAAAAAAGTGCAGTTTTGAAAATACTATTGGTGTGGACAGGGCATTACTTGGCTCTTTCTGAGTATTATTATTTATACTGTAACCTTATGCATCAAAGCATGACAGCAGCATACACATACTCCAAACTCTAAATTAGGTGATGCAACCTTTTTCCAGTTTTCTTCTGTCGAGTTTTGGTAAGCCTGTGTGAACTGTAGTCGTATGATTGACTGGAAAGCATTAAGGTCAGAAGTGAGACATTTCACTGCTGGAAATCCCACCTTTGATTGTGCCTGGAGCATTATGTTTGACATAAGGAAACTCAACGCTAATGTTATTGAAACAGAACTAGCAGTCATCTGTGAAGTGATATCAAAGGATGCGTCTTGCTGAATTTAGGGTTTTTGATCAGTTCACAGGTCAGATGTCCAACTTCTAGCAGCGTTCTAGATGATTTTTCCTAGTAGGAGGTTGGAAAAAAAAATTCAGAGTTGTCTGGAATGCAGCATATGCTCGACTCAATAACTCATCGGATGAACTCAATTTAATTGAGAGCAGGGTTTTTATTCAATGAATTTGTTTAGTGACAAACTGCAAAACAACTATTTACTCAATTAAATGCAATTGAGTTGGTCCAACATGATTTTATCAAATAAAAGTTTAAATACATTTGTGTTTGTATTTAAATAACTTTAACTCAACGGTCTGATAATATCATGTCTGTCTATTATGTGTCATAAATTTTGAAGTCTCTTAGTTTTATTTAAAGTTATCCTAAACTATCCAAAAGAGACATTTTTAAGCATATTACATATACAGTTGATCACAGAAGTAATTTTAGGACAGTCATTGCTCACTGAGCAAAGCAACAAACTGCATTTTTACTAATTAAACTGCCAACACCCAACGCATGGGTACTTCTGCAAGGTGGTAATCTCAAAACTCAAAGCATTACATGAAAATTTTCTAAATCTTCAAACTAAAGTGAAGATTAAACTCTTAAGAAGTCTTACTATTAACTTAAAACATGTAAGATTACTTTTATTGTTAACATTTTATGCTCTTACTTCAATCCAACCCAAAGCATGCTGGGAACTGACAGTGCTGATGTTTATATTTCATTATTAAATATTATGGTGACAGTCGATACCAAAATTATGTACCGTTCTGATAAACATCCCAAATAATGTCTCTAACACCTGTAATAGACTGTATTGTTATCACATACAGTATAATCAACAATTTTAATAATAAGTCTTTTTTATAATAGTTACTGCCAATGCTTTAATGCATCTTTCCTTTATTGAAGTTCCTTTGCTTTACCATGCTAAGTTTTTCTGTATGCTTCTTAATTCTTTTGCTTTCTAAAACACGTACCACAGTTTGAGAACCACTGGTATAGACCATTTTGATGTTGTCATACCATTTTTCCCTTGAATATTTCCTGTGTGTCATCAAACTATTTCATAACTGTAACTAAAAAAATAAAGCTCATAGACAAACTTTATGGTGGCTTGAGAAGGCCTCGTCTGAATGTTTGAGGTAGTTTAAAAGTTTAAGTAAAGAAGTTTTAAGTGAAGTAGTTTTAAAGACGTTTGAAACAGTCATAACTACAAATAGGTAGGTTAGCATGTTTCTGGTAAAGATTGGCATGATTCTAGCTAGGGTGTTCTGAGTGGTTGTTAAGGTGTTGCTAAGTGGTTGCTAGGGAGTTCTGAATGGTTGCTAGGGTGTTATGAGTGGTTGCTTAGATGTTGCTAGGCAGTTGCTAAGGTGTTCTGAGTGGTTGTTAAGGTGTTGCTAGGTGGTTCCTAAGGTGTTGCTAGGCGGTTGCGAGTTGTTGCTATGCGGTTGCTAGGGTGTTTTGAGTGCTTGCTAAGGCATTACTAGGTGGTTACTAAGGTGTTGCTAGGTCATTGCTAAGGTGTTGCTAAGTGGCTGCTAGGGTGTTCTGAGTGGTTGCTAAGTGGTTGCTTTGGCGTTGCTAGGTGTTTGTCATGGCGTTGCTAGGTGGTTGCTAAAGTGTTCTGAAAGGTTGCTAAGGTGTTGCTAGGTGGTTGCTAAGGTGTTACTAGGCGGTTAGTAAGGTGTTCTAGTCCATTGCTAAGGGGTTGCTAGGTGGTTGCTTGAGTGTTCTGAGTGGTTGCTAAGGCGTTGCTAGGTAGTTTTGCTAGGTTTTGCTAGGCAGTTAGTATGGTGTTTTGAGTAGTTGCTAGGCAGTTGCTAATATAAATTAGCATGTCATTAGCATGGTTCTATGAATTAGCATGTTGCTAGCATGTTTTAGTATAAACTAGCATATTTAATTTATGTGTTTGATTCAATATGAATTAGCATGTTTGCAGTATAGATTGGTATATTTCCAGTATGGATTTGTAAATTGCTAGTATGGATTAGCATGTTGTTAATATGTCCAATGTAAAGTCAATGCCAGTTTTTATAATGGGTCTATGGGACAGTTGCTAGGGTGTTGTAAGTGGTTGCTAGGGTGTGGCTAGTAAGTTGAAAGTTCATCAGTAATTGGCAGATTGGTAGTCTGAATTAAATGAGCCCAAACTTAGGTCTGTATGACAGTCTGGCGCAAAGTTATGAGGTCACAAAGTTTGGTCCAATGTTAATTCAGTGGGACTTTTCTGAATTTTTGAAGCTATAGAAATTAAACATGTAAAACAGGAAACTTGTTAGCACTATTGTTTTTGTTTACATCCCTCAAAATGCTCTATTGTTCATGGCATGCAGATTTTAGGGAAAATGTATCCGTAATCGATGCAGCCAAAAAGTTAGCGAGCACTAATGCCCTCTGTTGTTGTATATCATCTCACTGTCTCTTTCTTTTTGCACTGCAGTAACATCAGTACAGCACATGCCAAACAGAGCGGTGTAAAGTGTCGAGCCTACACTTTCTCTCACGTCTCTTGCCTGAATGTTTTATCTCTGCAGTTTCTAATGTGCTGCTGGTAAAATTCTGCCAGGCTGGAGTCGGGCCAGTTGGCTGTGAGCTGAGAGCAGAGCAGACAGCAGGTGGAACTCTTCTAGCTTTCAGCAGCAGAGTCATGCTTGCTCAATAATTACTGAAGCTCAGTCATACTGAAACAACACTTACAGTTTGGTGCTACTTGTCATTGTGTACTGTGCATTAATAGAACAATCTGTGTGAGTGTTTATGTTCTAGTCTGCAATTTATTTAATGACAAATATAGCATCAGTGGTGTAAAGTAACAAATTACAAATGCTCAAACTACTGTAATTAAGTAGTTTTTCTCAGCAATTGTAATTTACTAAGTAGTTTTATAAATGTGTACTTTTGCTTCCTCTTGAGTATATTTTTAGTGCTGTATCAGTACTTCTAATCCACTACTTTGCTTCAATCTGCAGTCACTACTTTATTTTTTCTTGTCTGTTGGGCATAAGAAAAATCAGTCCTGTGATTCCTGTCCAATCAAATCGCACATAAGACAGTAAATCCTATCATACTACCTCAAGACATGGCCGATTTGTAATTGCAGCAAACTGTTTGGGAGCATTAAAAATGTCATAGAAGATGTCCAAAATCTTTACTTGCATTGACCCAAAGACTGTTTAGATGCATGTCACTGATGAGAAGATGACAGATGTTTACTTTATGTTGACCCAGGAGGCACAAGACGTCAACATGACGTCAGATTGACGTTGTACCCCAATGTCATGGGGATGTTGCATTTTGTTTGGAAATGAAAATTGGATTTAGGTCAGAACCCAACGTCAGGCTAACGTCATTGTCCAACGTCCAACCTAGAATCACCGTCTAATGATGTTTTAGCTTGACGTTGTGTGGGCGTCATCAGTATGACGTCTATCAGACGTTGGATTTTGGTTGCCATACCTGATGAATAAATACCAGTATTTATCATCAATATGATGTTGGTTTAAGATGTTGACTCAACGTTGGATTTTGGTCACTTTCTAACACAACCTAAAATCAACCAAATATCAACGTCGTTTGACGTTGTTATTGGACAGCAAAGTAAGATTATCCTTAGACGATAGGTAGATATTGAATTTTGGCCACCTGACGACACAACCTAAATCTAACCTATTAATAATATCTTATGACATTGTGTGCCTGCTGGGGAATAACTAAATGCACTACAGAATGTTACATTTACACACATACACAAATTACATGCAAACGCATCAGCTTTCTCCAGCGTAAAACTTACTACTCACTCTTGAGTACTTTTGAAAGTTCTACATTTTACTCATACTTTAGGTAACATTTACAACAGATAGTTTTACTCTACTTGCACTGCATTTTTAGGTACTTTAAGGTACTTTTACCCAAGTATGATTTTTCAGTACTCTTTCCATCACTGTATATAGCATTCACTTTTACTGTGTCCCACAAATGTTTTAACTTTTTCCCCATTAATGTTTTAATTTTTTGTTTGTTTGTTTACCTGATAGATTAATACTGACAAAGTTAGATTATTTGGATCCTCTCCTCCTCAAGAAAAGCAATAGATTTTTTATTTTTTTTAACAAAAAAAGTACAGTATACTGTAAGTTTATCAATACATGAAGAAACATTTGGCTAAAAGCAAGCCAACTCTTATTGACCCATTTTTTACATGTGATTCTTTTGTCTTGTTATTTTGAGTTTTTTTTTTTAACTGATGTTAAAAACAAAACTGTATTTCATACCAAATGTTCTATATTTTGGTAATGCCATTGCAACGGTGTTGATTTCTTATTAACATTATTACAAAATATGAAATATTTAGTTTAAATCTTAATGATGCACGCATAATGCAGCTGTTTTTCAATTAATTTTGCATTCAATTAATTTTGCATTCATAAATTCATTTACTTTCAGTCAATTTGTATTTATTTAATGTTTCTTGATATTTAAAGTGAATATTCTGTACTCATTTATAACTGTATTTCATACAATGTCTACTT